AGACTTCAAAGTGAGGGCCTAACAAGAGATGATGAAGGCTACTTCATTATACTACTACTAAATGAATTGATTTAATAAAAAGAGGATATAACTCTGATAAATATATATGTACCCAATCCCATAGCATATGAATGTATGAATGTATGAATGAAAATCTGGGACTTGTGTGCATGCATATAAGCCTAACCAATGAACACAGACAGCAGGGGAGTGAGGGCATGATTGGGGGTTGGGTGTCATGGGGGGATCAGGACACATATGTAATACCTTAATGAAAAAGAAAAAAAATTCTGAAAGTTTTTAAGGAAGTGATCAATAGCACTATAATCATAGTGGGAAAAATTTAACACCCCACTGATACAACTGGATAGATCTTCTAGGCAAAAATTCAACAAGGAAATAGTGATCCAAAACAAAACAATAATCATTTGGAATTATTTGACATTTTCAGAACATTTCACCTAAAATATATAAAATATACATTTTTCTCAAGTGCACATGAGTTGTCAAAGATAGACTACATATTAGGACACATAATAATTTTCTACAATTAAGAATATAGAAATCATATTAAGCATCTTTTCAGATCACAATGACATGAAATTAGAAATCAGCTACAATAAAATACTAAAACACATGAAGGCTAAATAGCATGCTATTAAACAATAAATGGGATACCAAAAAAATCAAAGAAGAAATAAAAAACATCCTAGAAACAAATGAAAATGAAAACACAACAAAGCAAATCTATCACACCCAGTGAAAGCAATCCTGACAGGTAAGTTCATAGCATTACAGGCCTATTTAAAACGAAGAAGAAGAAGAAGAAGAAGAAGAAGAAGAAGAAGAAGAAGGAGGAGGAGGAGGAGGAGGAGGAGGAGGAGGAGGAGGAGGAGGAGGAGGAGGAGGAGGAGGAGGAGGAGAATATTTACTAAGTTATTTAACCCTACAACTTAAAAAATTACAAAGAGAACAACAAGAAAATACAAAAGTAGAAGGAAAAAAATAATAAATATCAAAGTATAGATAAGTGAAATCGAGATTATAAAAACAATATAAAAGATCAATAAAACCAAAAGTTAGTTCTTTGATAAACAAGATTGATGAACCTCTAAGAAAACTTAACACAAAACTAAAAAGGAGGACCCAAACTTAAAAAAAAAAATCAGAAATGAAAGAGGTGAATTAACAACTGACCCCACAGAAATACAAATGATCATTAAGAAAAATACTATGAATGACTATATTCCAATAAACTGAACAACCTGGACAAAAATGGACATATTCATAAAAAAAAGATAATTTTCCAAAAATCAATACAGAAGGATTAGAAAATCTGAATAGGCCAATAACTACTGATGAAATTGAAGCAGTAATTAAAAAAACAAAAAACAAAACAAAACCTCCTAGCAAACAAAAGTGCTGGTTTAAATGGCTTTATAGGGGAGTTTCACCAAACATTCAAAGAACTAACACTGCCGAAACCGGTTTGGCTCAATGGATAGAGCGTCGGCTTGGGGACTGAAGGGTCCCGGGTTCGATTCCGGTCAAGGGCATGTACCTTGGTTGCGGGCATATCCCCAGTGGGGGGTGTGCAAGAAGCAGCTGATCGATGACTCTCCCTCATCGATGTTTCTAACTCTCTATCTCTCTCCCTTCCTCTCTGTAAAAAATCAATTATATATATATATATATATATATATATATATATATATATATATAAAACAATCAAAGAACTAACACCTATCCTCCTCAAACTATTCCCAAAAATTAAAGAAGAATAAATATTTCCAAGCTCTTTCTATAAGGCCAGCATTACCTTAATTCCAAACCAAGATAAAACTGCTACAAAGAAAGAGACTTAAAGGCCAATATCCCTGATGAATTTAATTGCTAAATTCCTTAAAAACATTAGCAAATCAGATCCAGCAATACATTAAAGCTATCATACACAATGACCATGAAATTTAGTCCAGGGATGCAAGGCTGGCACAATATTCACAAATCAATAAATGTGATACCTCATATAAATAAGTGGCAGTATGAAAATCACATGAAAATATTAATTGCCACAGAAAGAGCATTTGACAAAATAAAATACCCTTTTTGATTAAAACAAACAACAACAACCTCTCAGCAAAGTGGGAATGGAAGGATCATATCTCAAAAAAAAAAAAAAAAAAAAGTCTTATAAGACAAACCTTTAGCCAACATCATATTAAATGGGCAAAAACTAAAACCATTTTCACTAAGATCGGGAATAAATCAGGGATTACCATTCCCACCATTCTTGTTCAACATAGTACTGAAAGTCCTAGCCATAACAATCAGACAAGAAGAAAAAATAAAATATAACCAACTTGGAAAACATGTTATAAAAATCGCATTATTTGCAGATGACATAATATTGTACATAGGAAACCATAAATACTCCATCAAAAAACTACTAGATATAAAAAATCAATTTGGGCACATAACAGGTTCAAAATTAACACCCAGAAATATATGGCATTTTTATATACCAACAATGAACTCTCAGAAAGAGAAATTAAGAAAATAATCCTATTTACCATTGTAACAAAAAATTAGATACTTAGGAATAAACCTAACCAAGCAGGTTAAAGATCTGCACTTGGAAAACTATAGAATATTCAAAAAAGTAAAAAAAGAAGGTTTAAACAAGAGGAAGATTACATAGTGTTCATGGATTAGTAGAATCAATATCATTAAAATGTCCATACTACCCAAAGCAATCTATACCTTCAATGCAATCCCTATTAAAATATGAATGGCATATTTCACAGATTTATAATAAACTCTTCAACACTTTATATGGAATAAAAAAAGACCCAAAGTAGCCACAACAATCTTGAAAATATAAACCAAAGTTGTAGGAATAACAATACCAGATATGAAGTTATACTATAAAGCCACTGTACACAAAACAGCCTGGTACTGACAAAAACAGCAACAACAACAAGAACAAACAAAACAAACAAACAAAAACAACAACAGGCATATAGATCAATGGAACAGAACAGAGAACCCAGACATTGACCCAAGCCATTATGTTCAATTAGTATTTGACAAAGAAGATGAGAACATACAATGGAGTAAAGATAGACTCTAATAATTGGTGTTTGGAAAATTGGACATGTGCATGGAAGGAAGGAAGGAAGGAAGGAAGGAGGGAGGGAGGGAGGGAGGGAGGGAGGGAGGGAGGGAGGAAGGAAGGAAGGAAGGAAGGAAGGAAGGAAGGAAGGAAGGAAGGAAGGAAGGAAGGAAGAAAATAGTCCACCAACTTACCCTTAAAGTTCATAGCAGTGCAAATTATAATAGCTAAAATTACTAAACAGCCTAATTTCTGATCAGCAGATGAGTGGATAAAAAAAAAAAGCTGTGGTACATTTACACAATTATATCCTATGCAATTGTAAAAGAGGAATAACTCTTACCATTTGCAGCAGCATCAATGGTCCTGGAGTATATTATGCTGCATCAAAATGGTGAAACACCTAATGTTATATGCGAATGAGCTTAGTATTTATTTTATGGATTTTAAAGTAGATGAGAATCCTGAGTAATAGGGGAAAAAGAAAAATACATTGGTAAGAGAGTCATTTGTTTCAACAATGCGGGTGTGATCTACAATTTCTAATCATGGAGAACAGCAAGAAGTTAATAACGTATTTGATGGCTTAGAAGTCTTCAGTGAACTTTAAAAAGGCAGACTCACAAATTGATGGAAACAAAACAAAAAAAGTAAATGATATTTTCTATTCTGGACAAAGTAGAGTAACAGGGATGATTTATGACCTGGAATACTTGCAAAAAGGGAAAAAAATGAGATACAATTTTGAAAGACACTGAACATCAGGAAGCAGAGACTGATCCCTCACAGATAGGAAATAAATGAGGTGAATCCTATGATTGCTCCACATTCCTTGAGTTTCTACTCCACAGTTCAGGGAGGTGGAAACCAGGCAAAGACAAGCAGCCTTGTTATGTAGAGGAGATGGAGCTAAGACACTGTAGAGAACAAGGTGGGTAGAGTTCCCAAGACAGACAACCAGAGAGGAAAATGAGAGAGAGGGAACTCCAGAATCTTGCACCCCACACGAGTGACTCAGGGTATTACTGATCACCTCATGTGTGGATACAATATTAGAAGCCAGGAAAGAAACTACTGAAAAGTATTTTTGATAACTGATACACAAGAACCTGCAATAGCGGCCTTTACTGTCAGCCAGACTAGAAAAGTTCTAGATGCAAAGGCATTGAATTATTTACCTGGAAGGGTCTAGTGAGGAACAGTTAACCATACAACATGATTAACATTATTTGGCCATGTACTATCACAGGGAACGGCTCTGTTTATTTCAATCAAATCTTAAAAAGTACCCCAAAGAATCAAACTCTTTCCAAGCAACATAACAGTATCCAAGAAAGGCAAATACTATTTGTAAAAAGAGAAAGTCGATGGTGAACAACACAGGGTTTTAAGTAAAAACAGGGGTTTTTGAATGCCACCCTGTTTCAGACCCAATGCGTAACTCACCTCAGAAATATTTGGGCAAATATCAACACCTGAGGGCAGTAAGTACATAAGAAAAATCACACTTCTCAGAACTCCCTCCTATCAATTCCTAGCTATAATTTACTCAAGGGAAATCAAAGTACATGTATGAAGATATGAACACGTGAAATATTCATGGCCTCTTGATTTCCAAACAGCCCAAACCAGAATCACTCCAAAAGTCCATCAAAAAAAGAATGAGTAGCTAAAGTGTGGTGTGCCCATACAGGGAAACAGTTCTCTACCACAAACAAGAATGCCGCCTGGAGGCCCATCTCAGGACAGTGCATGCTGTGCAGGGGAGCTTGCTGACCCGCCTTCTGGAAGAGTAACAATGCACCACACCTGGCAATGGTCTCCTAGCGACTGGGCAGCTGGGACAACAAAACACTGAGGCCCCTGATGGCCCTGGGCCAAGGGCGCCATGGCGGGCAGTCGGTGGCCCTTACCTGAGCCCCACAAGGGGTGGCAATTGAAGTCGGACCTGAGGAGGAAGTCGCTCTTGGAGTCGAGGCTGATCAAGCGGTGGGTGTCAGGGCCCAACCTGGCCAATGGGCTCCTAGGACAAAAGCTCAGCAGGAAGTGGCTGCTAGGGCGGGCGCCGCTGGAACCCGTGGCCCTGGGCATGAAATATAAGCCCTTGTACAAGGACAGGAACAAGTTGCCTTCCTGCTCTTTCTCCAGGAACAAGGACATGTTTGGGAAGTGCCCCACCTCCATGGACAGCCGGCGGTGGGTATTTGTGAAGGAGGGGGCGGACGACTTCAGAACGGGCTGTCCATCTCCTGAAGATATGATCACTCGTGGCCATCGGGAGGGCTTTCTCCCCATGATTGCTCATAGGATTCCCCGCCCTCCGCCCAAAAAGATTCAGAGGAAGCCGCCCAAGGGAGCGGACCTGTGTTCCAAGCTCACGCCAGCCCAGCGAGCACGGAAGGCTTTTGTAGAGAACATTGAAGCCAACTTGAACAAGCATCCCTTGGCGGACTGCCTGAATCTGGAGGAAGATCTCCCTCCAGACCTTCTCCTCAAGGTGCTGCAAGTGCTAGATCCTGACAGGGAGCTGGAGGACACATGGGTTTATTGTGAGGGCACCAAGGAAAGAAAGAAGACCTCCACACACCTGTGTGAAAAACATCCCGAGGAGGTCAACCTGGAAGTTCCCCAGGCAGTGAACCTGGAACCTCCCAAGGCAGTCAAACTTGTCCCTCCCAAGGCAGTCAAACTGAAACCTCTCAAGACAGACAAACTGGAGGCAGTCAACGTGGAATCTCCCTGGAACTTCAACCTGGAACATATAGAGGCAGACATCCAGGAACCTCCCGAAGAAGTCAACCTGGAACCTGAGGAAAAAGACCATGCGAAAACAGCCAAAGAGTGTCTCCAGTCTTATTTATTCAGTTTGTTTCCTGAGCAAGAGACAAAAAAATCATGCAAAAGGATCATCCCCAAACTTCCTGTTTTCCAAAGCACAAGAAAAGTAGTTCATGAATTCTGCAAATGGATTGATGATACTTTTGGAGACATAGGCATTGATGAAGAGGCCATCATGAAAAAGTTTGAAATTGATTTTGAGGGCCCACTCACCCATGCTACAGTCAAAATAAAGAAAATAAGTCACCTTCCTTTGAATATAAGGCCCAGCAAACAGCTAGATGGTTTAAAGCAGAGAAAATTCTCCCTGCAGGAAGATAACTGGGAAAGGAAACTCCGAAAACCACACGACCCTTATAAATCCAAATGGGAGAAGATAAGGTATGGAGCATGGTACCTGGACCCCAAACTCTGGAAAAAGTTGGTCAATGACGCACCTTTGTCCGACCCTAAAGTCGTCCGTGACAGGGATTATTGGAACTATAGAAGGCATCTTGAACCAGACATTATTGATGAACTTTATGGACCAATTGCCTTCAAAGATTTTGTTGTAAGCAAAGGCTACTCGATGCCAAGTGTGATTGAGAAGATGTTTATAAGGAAGGGATGGAACTATGATTCTGTGAAGACTCCTATACACCGAGTAGTGAAACTCCTCTCTCAACCCAAAGAGGAGGATTCAGAGGAAGAAGAGAATTAGACAATTTTCTACTTACCACTCACTTGGTTGGTGTTTCTCTCATTTTAACATCAGTCAGAATTCACCATGAATGCCTCACTGGGTATGTACAACTTTGATTCCACAATATCTGTAAATTTAACACCTAGGGCTAATAAAATTTTCTAAATGAGCTTCAGCTTGGGTTCATCAATATTTTATACATTTAAACTACTATGAAGTGAATCCTATATTATCAAGAGGTAATATGCAAATTAACCCTCACACTCTCACAAGAGGCTGCCTACGACCAGGCCAGCAGGGGGATTAGTGAGGGATGACCAAACGACTGAACAGCAGGCTGCATGAGATGACCAGCAGGGGGAAATAGTTGGGGGTGACCAGGCAGGCAGGCAAGTGAATGATTAGGAATCAGTGGTCCAGGATTGTGAGAGGGATGTCCCACTGCCAGTTTAGGCCCAATCCCTGGTATTGGGCCTAAACCAGCAGTCGGACTTCTCCCAAGGGATCCCAAATTGGAGAGGATGCAGACTGGGCTGGGGGAAACCCCCTCCCAAATGAATGAATTTAATACATCAGGCCTCTAGTATTTATATATACTTCTCTCAGTTTTTATTGCATTAGGAATATTATATTTTTATTTTAATTATTAATTTAAAATAACCATATATAAAATTATTACTTAAAAAGGATCTTGTTGTCCAGCTGATGTGGCTCAGGGGTTGAGTGTTGACCTATGAACCAGGAGGTCATAGTTTGATTCCAGATCAGGGCACATGTTTGGGTTGCAGGCTCGATCCCCAATGGGTGGCATGCAGGAAGCAGCTGATTAATGATTCTCTCTCATCATTGATGTTTCTCTCTCTTCCTGTCCCTCTCTGAAAATCAGTAAAAATATATTTATAAAAAATTATGCCCGCTATAATGTGGGATGAATCTCAAAAAAATTATGCAGAATGAAAGAACTGTATCACTCCAATAATATTCCATATATAATGCATTATGTCAATTATTTTGTTAAGTACAACTTGTAACCCATAGACAAAGTAACTTTATGTATTGTTTGTGAATTGTCTGTAGCTACCTTTGTGCTACAACATGAGAATTTAGGAATTGTCACAGAGATCATATGGCCTGCAATCCTAAAATATTCCCTAACTGAATTATTACAGTAAAATTTACTGCTCCCCTAATCTAGAAGAAAAATGTATTCATACATATATTAAATCATTGATGTCACACTTTGGTTGAAGGGAAAATAATACATGCTCATCTGTGGAATAAAGTAAATTTTTTTTTACATTGACTATTTTGGTAGACCTTTTTTAACCTTTTTAAAATCTGCCTATTAATTTTAATATTCCCAGGGTCAAAAATCCCCAAGGTATATCCTCATATCTTATATACCCTGCTTCTTATAATGTCTCTCCATATGATGACTTGTCATGCTGAGATTTCCCATGATTCCAAAAATGTGGATGTTAAATGTGAGGTAAGGCAGCCTGAACATGATAAAAACAGACTAACTTTGTTCCCCACTGAAATTGCTCATTAATTCGATTGGCTGTCCACAAAGGTGGGTTGGCCATGAAAGATGTTTTGTATGTCCATAAAATTTTTAATGTTTTTAATTGAATGCCTTTCTGTGGGGGCTTCACTTGCTAGTTTATCAGCATCTTCATCCTGTCTTTGTAAGCTTTTGTTCCATTTTATACAGTTAAATTACCTCCCTGGCTCAAATGGGTATTTGAGTTTATAACCATTGAACTAGAAGCTGAATGTTCCCTGATGTCACTAGAGTCTACAAATTATGAAAACATTTTCACTAAAATCATTAATTCTTGCAAATGAGGCTACTATCATCATTATGTTTGTGAGCTACCAAAAATACCTATATTTTGCAATTATTGTCAGCATTAATGTTAGGATTGAGTTATAGAATAAAGGATAAAAAAATTCACCCTAACCAGATTGGCTTGGTGGATAGAGCGTCAGCTTGTGGACTGAAAGGTCCCAGGTTTGATTCCGGTCAAGGGCATGTACCTTGGTTGCAAGCACATCTCCAGTAGGAGATGTGCAGGAGGCAGTAGATTGAGGTTTCTCTCTCAGCAATGTTTCTAACTTTCCTTCCTATCTGTAAAAAAAATCAATAAAATATATTTTTAAAAAGAATAAAATAATTTTATACCTCCACTATTATTAAAATTAAGAAATTTATATGACAATTATTTTAATCAAAACTTGAAACCTATAGTCAAGTTAATGTGTCTCATTTTATCTAATAAAGAGGGAATATGCTAATTGATTATCATGCTGTTGCAAAAATGGTGGTGCCCACAGCCAATAAGGAGGGAATATATTAATTGACTGCCATACCTCAAAGATGACAGTGCCCATAGCAATAAGATGGCAGCACCCAGTTCCCTCAGCCTCCATGTGCCTGCCTTCAGAGTCCCCCAGTCCCCTCAGCTGCCCAGTTGCCTGGGCTGGCCCAAGGCACAGGCAAGCCTCAGATGATGGCTGCCCAGCTGCCCAGGGCAACCCGACACTCAGGAACTAGGGCTGGCCAAGGCTTGTGCTACCAGCAGTGGCAGCAGTAGAGGTCTGTTGGGGGTGTCATCTCCCACCCCTGAGGCCTCCTGGTCTGTGAATGGGGGGCAGGCCAGCCTGAGGGACCGACCCCCTACTCCAATGTATGAATTTTTATTCACTGGGCGGCTAGTTTAATAATAAAATTGTGATCACCTTTATTAGTACTGCATCAAGGCCCAAAACCTGATTAGAACCTATTAAACAAAGACTATAGGATAACCTTTAGGTATTTTTTTTATCATTGCTTTCGATTGAATATATTTAAATTTCCTTAATATATTCATAAAAATTCACTTTGAAAGTGTATATCTTTTAAAATTATTTTTATTGACTTCAGAGAGAAAGAGAGAGGGAGAGAGGGAATCATCAATGATGAGAATCATTGACTGTTTGCCTCCTGCACATTTCCTACTGGGAATTGAGCCAGCAACCCCAGGCATGTGCCCTGCCCAGAAATTGAAAGATGACCTCCTGGTTCATGGATTGACACTCAAGCACTGAGCCATGCCATGTGGGCTGAAAGTGCATTTCCATATCATATATCACAGTTACAGAACACCAGGGAGCTTCAAGTGCTAAAAATCTCCTGTGCAAAATCAATGTGTGAATAAAACTACTCAGCACCACCAAATATCCTCTCATTTCTATTCAAGTGCAAGTAATCTTTGCATACCATGAATATGAACTTAAAATTCACTCATACATATAAAATGAGAAATCAAACATCTTCTTTACATTTTAAAAATAACAGCTAAATCTGTTTGTGACAGGACAATTTATAGCTAGAAAGAGTTGTAGTGCAGATCCAGAATACACTTCTGCTTGCCTTCATAAAGGAAGTCACATGTAAATGGAACTATAGGTATATAATATTTCATCTTTACAGAACAGGACAAATATATGTTTATTTGCAAATGTTCTATTTTAAATTAAGTCTGTCTGTGAGTATAGTGAGCTCAAAAAACCAGACTATTTCTAAGTATTTTTGTAAGTTGAGGCCTAGAATGTCCCTCTGACCCAGACTTTCTCATAATAGTTAAGTCTATGTCACCATTGTATCTTAATTCTGCATTGGTTTCCAAAATAATCTTCTACTTAAGTAAAGTAGAAAATGCAAATCTGGTCCAGTTTGCAAGATTGTTCTCTCTCCAGGCCAATCAGTAACATATCTGTTTACATAGGCACATCTTCCACACACATACTGCCATACAAACGTGCTCCTACATTCTAGACTCCAGTCCATATGTGCTTTCACATCTTTATGTCTTTGTATATAGTCTTCCTTATTGTTAGGTCTTCACTCAGGCCACTGTAATCCTGTTCTAATCCTCCAGAGCCAATTATATTATTGGTTTGATTAAGACCTTGCTTTTAGAGAGCTGCCTTTTACTAAAGAACTCTAATTTCCAACATAAGTGAGTCTCCAATGACTGCAAAATTAGGGAAATTCCCAGACTTATTATTCAGATATTAAAGATATTGATATTATATACTCTGGATGAGGATTATGAAGTTTCTGTGGGTCTCCATTCAAGCCTGGGAATATGTGCAACAGCATTCATCCTTACACATTCATTGTTCAGGTCCATAAAATTTGCTTTTCCACATTTGGTTATGTGACCTTGCATTTCTCAGAACATGTCTCCTTATCTATAAAATGGAAACTGTATCATCAAACTCAACTTTTGGTGAGAATGAAAGGGTAATTTTACACAAGTGCCTAATACCACAAGCATCACAGAATGATGCACAGCATATATTTGTGGAAGAGGAAGAGGGGGAGAAGGAGAAAGGACAGTGCTAAAAAGTCACAAAGAAGCCAAGGCAAAAAAAGTTGTAATGGTGGTTATCCTGTGTGATAGTTTTCAGTTACTTTTGACTCAATCTTACCTGTTGACTAAGATGAAAAAGTGTATGTGCAAAATAAGTCATCAGTAAAGCTTTCTATTTGCTTTGTTGATGGCTATGTCCAGTGAAATAAACTTTTGTAGAGAAAACATGTGGCTTTCTCTGCTGTTGTAATTACTTGCATTGGTATTAGTCCTCTTACAGAAACAAACAGAAGTAGTGCTTGATCCATTTGTATTTTTTAACACTAAAGAAAGTAGTAAACATAACCATACCTCAAATCTGTACTTTTTAGGAGAGGAAAGTCAGAAGAGCCCAATATATTTAATTGTGTTAGCATAGCCCTGTGAAGATTTGAAAGCCTGTCCAAAGTCTTTAACTGTTGATTTTGTTTTGAGGTTCACAACATAAAGAAACCCAAACAACTATTATAATAATCAATTGTATTATATTGTCACATAAGGAGTAACGGAACCTTTGAAGAATTTCACTCTAGGAACATGTAGTTTTCTGACAGTCTAAGAAGTATTCTGACAGTCTAAGAAGTATTAAGTATTAAGTGCACCAGGCCATCATATCTC